CAAAGCCTATGGTTGGGTAAATAATTTTTAATACAAACCTTTAATTGAACAAAATATAAAATCATTTATTTAACAAAATGGGTCATTCCAGGAAATATCCACTCATTTTTCACAAAGAAAACTAAACTCCAATTCCCCATCCCCTCTGATTACAACAACGAGGTATGGTAGGACTGCAGAAACTTGGAGGCTTGGAAACATAATATGAACTATTGAAGGTACAAATGATTATACTTGACATTCGGTTAGTGCACCAAGTATGCACAGTACTGTTTACACTATAGTAGCCTAGCTTGTATAATAATTTAAAAAACTCATTAATAATTCAGGACAAAACACAAAGAAAAATCATAAGCGTGTCGTGGTTTTATATGTGATAAAAAATCATGTCAATTTACATAAACTTTAGCTTTGATTTTCTCGGTTTAGACAAAGTTTATTTTAAAAATTACTTCGCCAATGAACTCGTATAAGATGAGTCGTTTTTTAAGCCCTTTAAAGCTCTTGTAGTCGTGTTTTATCACATATAAAACACTCCGCTACGCGTCGTGTTTTATAAATATGTGATAAAACACTCCTACGCGTGTTTTAAATAGTACATATACGTACATTATTATGTAAAATACTTGTTTAATTTTGAAATTGGATTGGGTAAAATAAAAATCCAAGTCGTGCAATAGTTGGGTAGGGGAAAAAAAGGTTGATCGAAAGGGTGGGTGGTTGTTTTTTTCTCTTTTCGATTAGTTTCTCTTCAGTACCACCCCCGGATATAAATAATGAACACTCCCTAAGGCTTGGCCAGTTTATTAATAAAAAGCCCATGCATGTCTTCGCACTTGTTGTGCCTTGTTTGGGGCACGCACTGAAGCATGCACTGTGGTTTTTCCATAATTTATAATTATTCAGCTCATTCCCCATTGGGCCTTTTCAGTGACCGATAAGATCAAGTGTTACGCTTGACCTAGACTGTTTATCTTTAGAACAATTGTGACATTATTCTTTCTCGGATTCATTAATAATTCATGAGTAATTCAACCAATGATAATCACTTATTTGATCACAAGATGCCATTTGGATACTTGATGAAAGTCACTAGTGTTTTCATCAAATATCTTAAATACGCTTGCAAAATTACTTGAAGAGAATTCCTAATTACGTTATGCTTGGTTAAGAATTCTATTCAAATCAGCAAACGAAAACAATCTGTTACGTCTCGATTCATTTGAGAAGCCATATAAACAACTCGAGCTCGTGTCTCACCGGGATATCCAAACACTCGAAAACAATGTATGAAAACACTCGCGCTTCGCGCTCGTGTTCTCATACGTTGTTTTCTCGTGTTTGGATATCCCGGTGAAACACTCGCTCTCGTTGTTTATATATTACATCCCAACCGTGTTTTTCTTAACCCACCCTAATGACCCTATCAACTTTTCCTGTGGGAAGAAGCCGGAGAACGTAGAAAAAAACCACGACTTTCGGCAGAGCGTTGACAGATTCTTTTCATCATGAGTTCGTAGCGAGAGACTCACCCACGAACTAAGAGGTGAAAGGAGGAGGTATGCCAAGTGCCCTCGAGTTATTAATTACTTTTACATTTTTGTTTAGTGGAGAAAAACAGTTCCCCACTTGCAAGGAACGATAATTACGTTCAATCTCAAGTGCGACCGAGGTTCAGGTCGATTCGAATCAAATTGTCTGCGAGCAAAGGTTCTTGGGCAGTGGAAATCAGGTATGCACGGTCCATTATGTGCGGGTATGATAATGGACTTTTATCTTACTTACATGCCAGGCTCTCCTCCTAGTCTTCCAACTCTCCTTAATCAACCTTGCTTCCCTCTCCTTCTCTGCAATGTCTACCACCCCACATCTTCTTCTGATCTCTTCATTCCATAATGTCTCTGACCAGCTGTCCTTCATCTCTTCTTATTACATGTCCATACCATCTCAACCTTGCTTCCCTCATATTCTCTGCAATGTCCACATCTCCATATCTTCTTCTGATCTCTGCATTCCACAATGTCTCTGACCAGCCCTCCTTCATCTCTTATTATTACGTGTTCATACCATCTCAACCTTGCTTTTCTCACCTTCTCTGCAATGTCTACTTCTCCATATCTTCTTCTGATCTCTGCATTCCACAATGTCTCTGACCAGCTCTCCTTTATCTCTTCTTATTACGTGTTCATATCATCTCAACCTTGCTTCTCTCACCTTCTCTGCAATGTCTACCTCTCCATATCTTCTTCTGATCTCGGCATTCCATAATGTCTCTGACCAGCTCTCCTTCATCTCTTCTTATTACACGTCCATAATGATTATGATAACAATGATGATGATTTTTAACATCCACTTTTAGTGAAACCTTCAACATGTTTGGTGGCAAGCTGGTGGGATAGTTTCGACGTTGAGGGCTGGTCAAAATGTAGCGATAATAATCTTTTTATCACTGGTTTTTTTCGAAACCGATATAACAGGGGTGGCCATCTCATCCTTTTACTTGAATACGCAAAATGCTGTAGTTTGATACCAGCGTTTAAGGGACAGAGCGCTGATTGTAAGATTGCCAACTGGTGGACGTCTCTTAACAGGTATAGTAGTATATAAATGTTGAAGGGTCTTGTAGATGGAAATTATCGAGTGGAAATTTATATACATCTATTGGACCTTACCAGGAACAGCTGCGAAAAGTGCAACTACAAGCCCTGGCAGCAGGGACGTCGCGAAGCCATCAACATTTGGGGGGGGGGGGGGG